TTGAACTCGTTCTTCACTATAGAATTCGCAAGATAGAAGAATGTGTGTGACAGATTCTACCTTATTAGACATACAAGGGCAGAGACGCGCATGCATTGGAACTCGCGTGAATTTGCCGTACAGCACTGCTGAGGGCATTGTCTCAAAGCGGGCTCTAGAGAAAGCCCATCTATAGGTTTCGTTAGTGATGTTAGTTAAGTAAGGGGCAGCTGCAAAATTAGGCCAAGCTTTTAAACATCTATACGTCTCTGGGAGTAGGGCGCCTTCTTGTTGTAATTCGATATCATAAAGTCTCCGAGTGATAGTAGCTTTTGCCTTGTTCAGAGTTCCAATAAAAATATTTTCAGGGTTTAGGCCAATTTGTTTGATCTTGTTAGTTATTTGCATAAGCCAAGGAGGATAGGGAACTGCGGCCAGGAAGCAAGGTAATAGACCCTTAGGATTGTAATGGATTTTCAGCCAGAGGGATATTGCTTGTTCCCAGACTTTTAATTCCACTCTGGGCAGTCCTGCCTCTTGCCTTAAGACTGCATTAGGTGTACACTTAGGAGTAGCAAATAATGATCTTAAGAATTTAGATTGTACTGTTTCAAGGGTCTTAAGGTTGGCAGAGGGGCTAATTTGAGAGCCATATAGAAGTTGGGCTAAAGATTTTGCCTGAAAGACTGTTAGGGCCATCGGGAGGAAGCCAGCTCCTTTCCTTCTGAATAATCTAAGGATAGCATTTGCACTTCTTTCTGCTGATATAGCTGATGTGGTCAAGTGTGTTGAGAATTTGGCATTATAAGAGAAAGTAATGCCTAAGTATTGGAAGGTCTTAGTCTGTTCAATGGCGTTTCCCTTTACGCTCCAATTATCCTTCCTAGAGGAGCGGTTAAAATGTACAATTTTGGTTTTGGCAAAGTTAATTGTTAACAGTTCAGTGTTACATTGGTCACTAAACTTTCCTAAGGCACGTTTCAGACCCACTTTGGTTTGAGAGAGAAGAACAGCGTCATCCGCATACATTAAAATTGGTACTTTTCTGCCATTAGAGAACACAGGGGGGTGGGTTTCAATTTCACGGCAGCATGTAACCAGGGAGTTAACATAGATATTAAATAGGAATGGGGCTAATAGGCATCCTTGTCTAACTCCTCTTTGAACTAGAATTTCTCTAGAGAGTCTGCCGTCCTGTGCAAGTCTTATCTGGAGGGTATTGTTCTCATGAAGCTTAATCATCAGAAGTAATAACCTTCTGTTAATACCCATATTGGCCAATTTGGCCCAGAGCCTGCTCCTGGATACAGAATCAAATGCTGCCTTTAAGTCCACAAAGGCCGCATATAATGACTTTTCCAATATTTCGCATACTTATAGACAAAGTAATCTAACACTAAGCAGTGATCAATGGTGGAACGTCCGGATGTAAACCCTGCTTGTTCAATTTCTAGCAAGTTATTATGATCTAACCATTCCCATAATTTTAGGCATAGATGTTTTGTATAAAGTTTACAGATCACATTCAGGAGACTAATTGGTCTATAATTAGATGGATCAGAGGGGTTGCCCTTTTTAAATATGGGAACAATTATAGCTAGTCCCCAATCTTTAGGGATTTCAGTTGTCTTATCTATATATGAAAATAGATTAGCAAGGACCGGGGCCCACCAGTTTATTTGCGCTTTCAGAAGTTCAGCGACAATGAAATCACTTCCTGGGGCTTTGCCAGATTTCATTTGTAGAATTAGCGAAGTGATTTCAGTTTCAGATGTTGGGGGCCATGGTGTATCATTATCTAAGGGGATGTTAAGCGGCGCAGAAGGACGATGTTCCCTAAACAGCACTTTATAGTGCTCTTCCCATGAATTTGCAGGGATTATTGTGCCCTCATTAGGAGCTTTGGTTTGACTGGAGATAATTTTCCAGAAGTTGGAATTGTCTTTTTCTATTGACGCTTTTATGAGGGCCTGCCAAATGAGAGAGTCTGCGGTTCTTTTGTGGTTTTTAATAACTCTTTGTAGTTCTTTTTTTTAAGTTGTAACTCCAATTTAGTGATAGGGTTAGGATTTTGCTGGAAGACCTTAAAGCATTCCCTGAGTATAAGTTTTGCCTGAGTGCATTCGTGATCTAACCATTTTTGTTGGTAGGGAGTCATTTTGGTTAGATCTTCTGGGTCTTGACAATAACGGTTGGAGTTTTCGGATTAATGTATTATAATGGTCAATTGGGAGGTCTCTTCAGTGTCGTTGGAAGTCAGATCAGCCCAGAGGAGTTGACCTTCCATTGATTGTGTCCAAATACCAAAATGGTTATTAACATAAGGGGACCATTTAATTCTGGATCTGCCTATTTGTTGTAAAGCGCTAGGATCAGGAGTCTGCGGGGCAAGCCCACATCTAGAGGGTTCCCAAAATTCAGTCCTTTTAAGATTTAGGGGTAAATGGTCACTTTCGGTTCTTATATCTACAGCAAATTCAATATATTCATCGAAGAGTTCTTGGGAGACAAGGATGTAATCAATAACAGAGTGCCTTAAGCCTGACCAGTAAGTAAATTGGCCAGGGCAGTCCCCCGAGGAGAGGCCGTTTAAAATAACAAGGTTTAATCTAAGTGCCATTGAAAAAAGACATGTACCAGCAAAATTGGTAACTGGGTCAAGTGAGTGACGCCTGAATAGGGGCCAATGTTCATCATTAGCATTTAGGGGACCCATTCCACTTTCCTTGATTAACTGTTCGTCTGAGTGGCCTAGCCTTGCATTAAAATCCCCACCAATAATTAAGGAGGCAGAGGGAAACTTATTTGAGACGAGGAGAATGCAGTCTTCCAGTTCGTTCCAGATGTTTTTAAGATCAGTTTGTTTCATAAGTGGGTGAATATAAACATTGATGCATATGATCTTAAAATGGGTGGAGAATATTTTAACGGCCAAAATCCATTTTTATCGATTTTCAATTGGATAGGGAGGCTCCTAGATCTGTCGATACGAAGGTGCTCAGACCTCCCACCGGTCTTCCGCCTTTTGGGCCGATTGAGGCAGGGGAATGGAAAGCAAAGTAATTGTGTAGTTCGAAAGGATTTTGCATCCAGGTTTCTTGGAGCAGGATGATCTTGAACTGTGATACGTAGGTTAAAACGTCTTTGTCCCTTGTTTTCGATTGCCATCCAGCAACGTTCCAGGATAGTAGTAGGGGTGAGAGTCATTTTGTCTCTTCAATAGCATCTAGGGCTTTCCCGGAGTCGTGGAAGATGCAACCATTGAATGGTTGAGTCTCCGGTAATGTGATTAGGGGCGCCACAGAGATTTCGGCGTGGATTTCAGATGGGCAGAGTAGGGGTGTGTGTTCTGCCGTGACCTGAGGAGATTCATGACCCATTTTTCGCTCCGAGTTAGGTGGAATATTTGCCTCTTTTGTGGGTGCTAGATCTTCAAAGTTGCGGAGATAGAGTAATAACTCATCTAGTCTGTCCGTTATCTCTGTTTGTTCGGCTTTTGGCAGATGGGAGAAGGAGACAAGTAATTCCTGCTCCATCGAATTCTCAAGATGAGTAGCCTTTGATAGGAGGGGCATGGGGGTCTCTGTCCAACTAATTAAGTCTGAGGGTGGAGAGGTAGAGCTCGTAGTAGATGGAATGCCCTCATTTTTAATTGCTTTCCTTTTAACTGGAGAGTAGGGAATAAGAGGGCAAATCTTAGTGTTGATAAAAACTCTTGTGATAAAAATTCTATAATTAGTCAGATAGCTTCGTAAGGACATCATATAAGTTGGAAGCTTTTTAGAATCAAAGGTGAGCAGTATCCTCTGCATGTGTGGCTTGCTGTAAATGTGGACAGTAGATTTCAGATCGATGGAAAGAGGATCTACGCCCAGAAGCTCAGCTAAATGCCTTCTTGCGACATGTGTAGACGACCAGTTAACAACCTGACCTTTGAAGGGGAGGATAATTAAACAAAGTCTAGTGGCTTGTAACGAAAGATTATAGGAAGATATGGTGTGTAAATCTTCCATAGATTGTTCGTTTTCAGATTTGCAGCCAATCTGCGGGGTTGAGCGTAATAGGGCAGGTACTCTGGGCGTTGGTTCAGCCCTATCCTCCGGTGAAACGTCTACAGGGCTGACATTAACTTTTGGGGATACAAAGGATGTAATATTCTCTAAGGAGCCTTTGATGTCTCTTATGTATTTAAAGATACAGTCCACGGTTTTAGCCACTAGGTCTAACGTAGTAGAGTGTTCAAGCAGTAATTCAGAGAGATAGTTTGCTTGTTCTCCGATGCAGAGACTGCCATCTGATTCTCTCCACTGAGACAGTGTCAAATGAGTGGATTTTCACTATGATTTCTTTGCACATGTCATAGAACAAGATCGAGATCTACCGGTTGATCATGGGGCGTCCCTGATCAATTGTATGTGATCCTGAGCAATGCCCCCCAAAAAGTGCTCAACTTTGGTGAATTCTTCCCCAAAAAAGCTCAACAACTTTGGTCAATCCAATGGGTAGATCACTGCCAGTTTTTTTTTATAGTGGGAGTAGATAGCAGTTTCTTGGGAGTTGGACATGCCTGTCATAGAGGAAGAGAAGAGTTTGCTTATCCGACTACAGCTCAAAGCAAACTGCTTCCTGCCTACCTGATCTTGAAAGATGGCACCACCAAATGCCCACACACAGGCAAAGGCAAAATATGTCTCATACAGTTCTCTCGGACCATCAAGGGGCACATTTTCTGGAGTCAGTAAGCAGTCAAGGAGAGAACAAAGTGTCTATATAATGAAAGAGAGCAAAAACAAAACATTAAAAATATTTTGCAGGTTGCAAGTACTTAGGAATTTGACTTATATCAAGTCAGAACATTGGGCTATCTAGTTATACAGGCATTGGTAGTGTCCCTCCAATGTTTCAAGCCCGGGTGTTTCCTGGACATTCTCAAGACAGTTTGCATACAAAACATAAAATCGTAGAATTGTAGTGTCAATAGGGACCCCAACCAACCTCCTGTAATGCAGGAAAATGCAGGTGGCCCCTTATGGGGGTCAAACCCATGACCTCGGCATTATCAGCACCACACTCTAACCAACTGAGCTAACTGCTGCTGTTTTGTAGCACTGAGCTACCCACTCCCCAATTATATAAATAAACCTGAATGTAACTCTAATGAAGATCATACTGAAGACTTTTTTCAGACATCTGGAAAACACAGCATCATGTGGGTGAAGCTGTCTGTGGTAATCTGCTTCCATACAACTGTACATACAGAGCGCTCATTTATTGTCTTTCTGTCTGTATCAACTCCAATCCATTGCAGAATTGTAAAGCTGAAGGGGCCACAAGGATCATTTTGCCACACATGGAGCTTGAAGCTGGCTTGTAGCATATTTGTGTTATTCGTTGCCTTTTTATATGTTTTTATAGTAAACCTTGTTGCAGAAAGATGGGTTGGTTACATAAATGAAGACAATGATGATAATAATAGTATCTGCACAAGTAAAAGCATACCTGAACCATACTATTCTCAGGGATGGGTGTGATCGTCTTAAAGTTAGTTTTGAGCTGATCTAAGCATAGAGGAACGTATTTATCAAAGAGGATTGTCAAATTGGCTTTTTCAGATTGGTGACTCCTTGTCTCTATCCAGCTTGCAACGTATCTGAAAAAGAAAACACAATGGTCTCTGCATAGATTTGCTGGATCAGTGCAGGGACTTACAATTACTTTCCCGTTAGTGCTGAGAAAATTCAGGAATAGTTGCCTAACTGGCTTAAGAGAGCCACAATTGGCACAACTTTTTGCCAAGCAATACTGTCTGGGATGGCAGCAGCACAAAAGGATCTGGGCTTTGAAGTGCTGGGAGCCAAGTGAAAGCGAGTTGCCCTCTGGGACACTAGTTGGCTAGTCCTACATTAAAGTATTATTACTGTGAAAACTAATAAAAACAACAAATTTCTAGTGTGCAGTAATACTGGAAAGTGACTAGAGGAAAATCCCAGGCTTTATTTTCTTATTTATTACAATATTTGTAACCTACAAACTACTGAAAACTAAACTAAATCAGAAATTTGTGCCATCAGACCAAAAAGATGCAGAGCCAAAAAAACCCAAACTTATTTCTTAGCTATACTCCAACATTTGTGTTTACAACAATTTCTATTTTAGAGTTTTGGGAGACTTTGTTAGCCTCATGGAAACCTTGAAGTCACTTTCAACAACTGAGAAATATAAAAAGGGAAATATAAATCAAGCCCGAGCCATCATATGCCAGCTGTTTTTCCATAAAATTTTGTTAAAGTTGACAGCAGAATGTCATAGAATCATACTCATAGAATTGTAGAGTTGGGAGGGACCAAAAGGATCATTTAGTCCAACCCCCTGCAATGCAGGAATCTTCTGCCAAACATAGGGCTTGAACCCACAACCCTGAGAGTAAGAGTCTCATGCTTTACCAACTGAGCTATAGGAGGTACTTACGGATTCCAGCCAAGGTCCTGAGGGTTTATGTACAAAATACCTGCCCTAGATACTGTGGCAGGAGTGGCTGTTTTTAAATGGTGTATCTCAAACAGCAGTCTCATGGATGGTGTCAAAGAAACCCGTTCATTGCTAGCAAGAGTCAGCACCTAGACATTAGCAGCACAGAATCAAGTTATTCTGACAGCTGTATCCATGGCTTGCATTCTGATAATAAATCAGAGAATTGCTATCGTAAAAAGATCTGTTAATATTTGAAGGCTATGTTAAAATTAAAATATACTTTGGCCTTCATAAAGGTAATTCTGCATTCTGAAATACGCATGGCCATAATTTTTATATAAGGAAGGCCACCAATTCCTACGGAGTGAGGAAAACACCAGATAACCTTATTTTTACAGTTCAAATTAATTTCAAGGCAACTGAATTTCAAAAACTACTCGCACATAACTTACAACTGGTTAACTTAGGAGAGATGTACTTGTGTGTAGAAAGAGTTGTGGTTTACTGCTGTGAAAAATATTCTTAGATGTAAAGTAACAACTCATCTCTCCATATAAGTTGGTCTACACAAAGGACTCGATAAGAAGTTATAAAAGGCCATGGTTTCCCACTTCATGGAACAAATTGTTGACTTACATACTCTCCCTTTCCTGTCCTTTGCCATATGCCAGGAGAATAAGTTTAGAAGCACTCACTTCAGCTTTTAAACAAACCGCAATTCCCTATTACATCCAAACTCAGTTTTGTGAGTTCAAGCAAATCACCAATTCCTAAGCCAACAAAAGAAGCCAACCAGGTTTGAACTTGGCTTGTTGAATTAACTAGAGTATAAGCAACCGCAATCCCCAAGGTTTGGATTTACTTAGGAACTGTTTTGTTTTCAATAAGAAACACATATTTTCAGTCTCTGCCCTAGCACACATGAGAACAGACTCATTTGAGACTGGGGTTTGCCATGCTGTGTTAAACATGGTGGGAAACGTATGAATGGGCCTTAATTTTAATGAATGGTACTAGAATGCAAGAAAGTAATGCAGCCTGGTTTTGAAGACACAGGGCTCACCCACACTTCCACTTGCCCTGTGCTTAGAAAGGCTTGCCCTGTGCTTTCCAGGAATGGGTCTGAATGGTTTTGTCCTGGGAAACTTGATTGCCAGTTGGTCTGATTCAGTGGCAAACCACGGGTTTTCCCACGGGAAAGTGGCAGGCCAAACGGGGTTGTGGATGAACCCTGACTATGGGGAAAGATGCCATGTAAAACATAGGGTGCACATTCTACCTATCAGAAACATGGAGGAGGTATGGCAAAGGAAAACATATGAGGAAACAAAGAAGAAGGAGGCAAAATGCAGAGTTGTCCAATGGGAAAAGAGAACGTGTTTGCTTTTTGCTCACCTTATTATCATCCATAACAGTATTGAGCGACTCAATCCACATAGGATCGATGTCCCCATCTAAGACAATCCACTTGGGCCAATTATGGGTCATATTAGCTTGCTCTCTCAAAAGAGATGAGAAGAGTCCTGAAAAACGGGAGGCAAATATGTTTTGGGCAAAGGAACTTTTAAATGATGAAAAATAAAAAAATTAAAATCCAACTGGGGTCCAAAGAACCCTGGGCACAAAGTCTTCCAAGTATGTCCCGGAGTTTCCCCAATTTTTTGTTCTGGCTACAGAAAGCATATATTATACTTGGAGGACAGGATTCAAAAGCAGGAACCCTCTGGGTCCAGGCAACGTAATCTATACGGCAGGGGAAAAGATTATACATCCTGACATCAGAATCAAGTTCAGCAGTCCTACCTGTATACCACAGTGCTGACAGCAGAACTGTGTGACACAGTCCTGGAATACTTTAGCAGCTGAGAGAGGACATGGAGTATATGATGATGAAGGTAAGATTGTGCAGGCAAATAGCTTGATAAAGCCTCTCCTCATCCAAGAGGGGAGGTGTTGTGGGTGGGACGCGATTTCTGCGTCATGCAGGGGGCGTTACGCCCCCTGCCCCACTCACCTGGCTGGCACACCACGCCCACAGGTAAGTGCCCAACCGGGCGGCTTGGAGGGGGCGTGGTTTGCAGTTTAACTTACTGCTGTGCCAGCCATTCCGCCTCATTTTCCGCCTTCCCATCGCACCTCAGACTGCAAGTGTGGAAGAATCCATAACTGCCTGCATGCAGAAAAGTAGTGAGGAGGGTAAGCAGAATCTTTTTAACATGCTACATTTTGTAAGCAAAGAAAGGGTTTAAGAACAAAAAAGTTGGGATTATTCAAGCATGATCATTCCTACCCTTCGCCTGCAGTATAAAACGGTGTGGCCCCAGGATGCCTACACCACGTGATTTCTCTGTATGAATATCCTAGCAAAATAAACATCAGCTGAGGGATATTTTGCAGGAAAACATGAAGAATGTGCAGTGAATGTTACAGTAATTAAAATATCTCCTCTACTTGCCATCTTTCCATTCTCGAGTAGCATGATGTATGAAACCAAAGAGCTCATCGGTAGTCACAGCTTTGGGGTTCAAGTCATTCCAAACAGGCTTCCGCTTCATGTTCATATAAGTCCTGTTCAGCGTTTTCAGAACCTAATGAACATCAAGGAGAAGACTCTTGTTAGGATCCAGGTCTTAATTTTGGGGGAAAGTGTTAGGTTCTTATATAAATATTGACACTGCTTTTCCAGTTTTCCATAACGTCTTGGGGGCAGATCCAGATTAAACTAGTTCCCACTTAAATCAAAGAGACAAGTTGAGTCATGATTAAACCCCCTCCCCCCTTAATTTGAATGCATCCTAAATTCCACTGCCTTAGGCTGAACTCAACCCTCAGTTTACAGCGTTTGGATTTATGGAGCCCTGTTTTCTGAGTCTGGGGACAACCACCTTGAGCTCCTTGCAGGAAAGGTAGGGTATAAAAATTCAGCAGTAAATTAAAATTTAAAAACTGTAAGACCTTTTGATGAGAAATGACAATGGGATGAAAAAGATGTGGGAGCAATGGCTCTAGAAACCTACATTAAACTTACCTAAATACTACTGCACTTTCTTAAGGCTTTGAGACTGAGCAGGAATAATAGGAAACTAACAAACAGAGAAAGTATTGTTCCTGAGAGAGAATAATTGTGGGGGGAGGTCCCAGAATCATAGTATTCCAGACTGCTCCTGCTGAGCCTCTGCTTCCACTATAAAAGGAAGCCACTCCAAATCATTACCGCCCCCCTAAACACACCCACGCTTGAACTTTTATTTTTCCACTGGATTTTGTCTTTCCCATCTGACCAGCTGAAAGAGGAAGGGAGGAATCCTTTCCTAATTGAGTGGTTGATGTATGTGAACTAATCCCTGGGTAGTTTGAGTCTCAGGGAGGGCGGGGGCGAAGTTACATCTCTGTCATGATTAGCCTGACCATAACAGTGCTCAACTTTTCACTTTAAAATCAGAGTTGAGGGGAAAGGCTGAAGAGAAGCATGCAGTGTTATGCCAGCTGGCGTAGAGCTGCTTTTCCCCCCTTCCATTTGCAAAATCTGCCATAAAAAAAATAACTGTTAAAGCACCATGCTGTACCTTGCTTTTTCCAGTGCCTGCATTTCCAACTACAAAGACAGAGTGACGCACTGCCAGAAGCTCCTCAAGCTGAACAATCTGTCAAACAGAATTAATACACAGCCAGTGGTTTTGTTTCCTTGTCCTCCCATTACCACCGACACCAATTACCTCTCACAAAGCTTCCCATCCTCTCCTGTAGCCAGGAAATTTTTCTCTCCAAATAACTTCAAACAGGATAACCTGAAGATGGCACATTAGTCTCTCAAGGCCCTACACCCAGACTTGAATTAATGAATGAGCCTCAAGAAATGAAAACAAATCTCCCCATCCTTTTTTGTTTGCTAAGCCACACAACCATATCCTGGTAAAATGAAGAAAACACTAATGTCAAATGTCACCGACTGCTTGATGTCAAGTAACTACAGGACAGGTGGCAAATGTAGGCGAAACTCCTCTTTCTAGGCGTCTTTTTAAAGTGCACAAGTCCCTTTTCAGGGACTGAATAGTAAAAAAACCCAAAAAACTAAAGGGGCAGCAAGACTCACAAAATGAATTCAAATTAGCTGGCCAAAAAAACTCTAAGAGAGGTAAAGGTAAAAGGACTCCTGACCATTAGGTCCAGTCGTGACCGACTCTGGGGTTGCGGCGCTCATTTCGCTTTATTGGCCGAGGGAGCCGGCGTACAGCTTCCGGGTCATGTGGCCAGCATGACTAAGCCGCTTCTGGAGAACCAGAGCAGCGCACTGAAACGCCGTTTACCTTCCCGCCAGAGTGGTACCTATTTATCTACTTGCACTTTGACGTGCTTTCGAACTGCTAGGTTGGCAGGAGCAGGGATCGAGCAACGGAAGCTCACCCTGTCACGGGGATTCGAACCACCGACCTTCTGATCGGCAAGTCCTAGGCTCTGTGGTTTAACCCACAGCGCCACCCGCACATGCAAAATTGTGGGTTGGGCTGATCCAAGCAGACTCTTTCAGTGGAGCATGAGGCTGGCAGCACAGGTCTCTGCTTCTCCTCACCAAACATCCCACTGTGGACAGCTTCAATCCTAGTCTGAATTCCCTCATTCAGGGCTACTGTCCACAAATGAGACACAACAGTGGCCTTAGATCTCAAAGTTTGACTTCTAAATCATATCATGACTGCTGTTTCTAATGGCCTGTCTGCAAACACGAGAGTTGGATCCACATGAGATGGGCTGTGATGGCTTCTGCTGTTTCTGTGATTCACAGTGAGCCTCATCCTAACATTCACCCATCTTCTCTAAAGGCAAGCAAGTGCGGCTGCTGTGTTTAAAATCTTCAGAGGCACAATTTGAATGCAAATAAGAAAAAGAAAAAGTTCCACATAGAACTCTCCTACAGTACAAAGATTAATCTATCTTTCTCTTCTATTTTGATTGAATAAAGGGACAACAACAAAACAAATGACAACCCCAG